TATATATATACATAGTTCTTAGAACTGCATAAACTACTACATTCTATCCAAAATACCTATATCTGCCAAATAACTAATAACAACTCTATATGTTGGCTTACAATTGCTGCCCAAAAGAATCTCTAGTGATATATTAGTAGGCTAATGTTTTGTTCCAGTACTGCTATCATTTGGTCGCATTGCCCATTATAAGCACTGCATATGAACAGGACATGCTCTACAGTCTCTATCTGACTACATTGTGGACAAAGACATGTAGGATGTTTACCTATTTTATGCAGGGTATAATTTTAACTTGTGTGACCTATTCTCAAACAAGTTACTACACTTTCCTCTTTTCTAATACCAGTCCATGCCTGTTGGAATCCAACCAATTTTTTGATCTTGTACAAATGTCTACCATTTTCACACCCATCCCACTGTTTTTGCCAAACTTTTTTAATATGAATATTAATAAGGGATTTCATTTCAAATCTAGAAATTGGAGTATGCCTAGTAACTGCATCAAATTTAGTAGGCATAATAGTATATCAAAGTGAAACTGAATAACAGAACCAAACAAGTGAGAACAAATGAAAGAAAAGAACAATATATAAAATACAATGAAGTTAAGCTATTGTGATATAAAATTAAACTGTCTGAGGAGGTCAAATGGTTTTGGTTCATTTTTTGTTAGGATCAGATTGTTTAACTATGAAGTGCTCATTTGATAATAGAGCTCCATCACAGTTAAACAGCTGCTTTACAAGTAGAATGTTATTGTTAATCTTCCACTACTACTACTACTGTTACTATTACTTCTTCAGAAAGCTTCACTACATATTCCCAGTACCTTTGCTTGTACAACACTTATTTTATTCAACACTGTTAACACTGCAGACCCATAAGTCAAACATCTATAGTCAAATATTAAATGTTCATAGAGCTTTTCTGTCACATACCCATGTGGTGCCTGCTAAATACTTTAAAACACAAATAACTCTCTCATTTTTAACAATAATTTTCTTCACATGTGCTTCCCGTGTCATTCTTTTGTCAGACTGTAACTGTTTTGTCATAACCTGTGTTTTGTGTAATTTCATTACAGGTTTGTGGTTGATGGGGCACCCTCTATTGACTGCCATATTAATAAATGGCTAATGTTAAAAATTAAAAATTACAAACAAATTAATTTCTCATTTAAAAAAGTAAAAATAACACAAATTTAGGCTTGCTCACTCCAGGCTGAGCATGGATGTCTTAAACCTGATAGCTAGGGCCCTCAGACAGCCTTTAGTGGATCCTAGACACCATAACAAATACAATATGTTGATTCAGTGCTACAAGGTACATGTTTTTGTAATTTTTCTGTATTTTCACTACTTGTATCTATCCAGTAAAGCAGGTCTAAATGCTTTTAAATACTCTTACAACAAACGTGTAGACAAATTATGCAAAATATGTGTAGCCCTTTTGTTTGCACAAGAATTTACAGAAAACCCTTGTTTTATCACTCATTACAGTAAAGCGGCTGTCAAAATTACACAGAAAATCTGGACATTATAGATGTTGCTCTGCATGAGGTGTTTCTTAATACTACAAGAGTGAGTTTCACATATCTAAATCAGGAGTTATTTACCAGCTCAGCAATGGGGCACCTGGCTCAGGAAACCCTACAATTTTCCCTGTAGACACTGCAGCTATCAACAGTATAACTTAAAAAGAAGAAGGGGGTGGGGGGTCTAACAAGTAAAATTAACCTACATGCAAGTTTTTGTTTAATAGCTTTAGCTAGAACATGGGCAGTGCTGAGTAACCCACTGCGGTCAAGTGAGCTGCCATTAGCTTTTGCTTGGTCAAGTCTCCCATACTTGTTTTACGAGTGCACAATTTGCCTTACAGTTACGGTATTTGCTGTGAGGGCTGTTTTAATGAGCTTTACTGAACATTGCAATCTGCAACCTCATCACATTTCACACACACTGCACCTTTAAATATATTTTTATGATAATACTTTTGTACTTTTATTTGAGTAACATTTTGAATGCAGCATTTTTACTTGGAAAAGAGTGTTTTCATACTGTGGTATTACGACATTTAGTTAAGTAAACAATCTGAGTACAATTGGTTGGTATCTTTCAAAGTTAAGTCTATTTAAGAAAGATTCTGCTCTTATTTCCCAGGACAGTACCATTACCTTGCTGAACGGTAGTACAGAGATATGTTATACAATAGTAGGAGCATGTATGTTCTATTACCCACAATTTGCTTTCTACTCAGGAAAATTATTAATATTGCAATCTCTTGGCTATAATTAAGTATAAACTTCATTGCCAAGTATGTGCACAACAATATAAAAACATGGCCACGTGACATTAAATAGCATACGCTAAGATTTGTTTCTATAAAGCTGAGTCAGTGACTGTCATCACTGTGGCCTTTTCAGGGACATTATCTTACACACAGGTAACTTTATAACACAGTATGTATTTCTTTGCACTTACCCTGTGCTCAGCTGCTGTTTTCTCAACTAGTGATGGATGGCACAGCTGTGCAGAGCTTCTATCACAGCACCTCTCCTACTGTGGAAATGGGAGCCACATACCTGTAACTCTCTCAGCTTTGGTATGTCCATTTTGACCATTTCAGGATCTCTCATGTGAAATCTGTGCAACACTTTTGCCCATTGCTTGTTTCTTTCAAAACACACCAGATGAATGCTGACACAAACCATGTTCTTCTTCACGTGCAGTGCAGATGAGCCTGGAATAAACAGGAGAAACACGGGACTCTGAGATGTCACACATGCACAAGTATGATCCAAACACAGGAGCAGGTTTTATCAGTGTCCCAAAATCACAAACTGCAAAAATACTCCATCTGTCCAATCTGCAAATTACAAAATCATTTCCATCTTAACCCTGAGCACAGCTCCAGTAGTAGACACAGGCTAACAACAACAAACCTACACTCAGCTACTAGAATGCATTCCTCTGACACAGCTCAGCAAGGAACTACTGTCCATGAAAATAAAATGAGGCAAATTTGTCTTAAATACACTGCAACCTTGAAAGACACAGACTCAGCCTAAAGGTGTTCCGGTTGGAAATATTCATGGTCAGTGTGGAGAGTAGGAGAAGTGACTTGTTCTCCTGTGCATAGAGATACATCAATATTGTTTTAACATCATCTTGAAAAATCCCAAACTATTCCTTTAATGTCGCCTTTATTTGCTGCATCTGTAGTTCAGCAAATTATAACATTTTTAGTTGCCTTACATGTTGAAATTTCTAAAAGTATAGAATGAAGTTTTTGTGTGTCTGCATGCATTACTGGAGTGTGGGTTCAGCAACGCAAATCACTGTCTGATGTCCCAGTATGCACATTGATCTTTCTAATGGTTACCATACCAGCTAAAAGAGAAAAGAAGGAAGAATGTTGTTGCATTTAAAATGAAATTACAATATATCAAAGCAAAATATACTACAAATTTAAAATCTGATTATCAGTAGTAGCAGCAGTTATCTAATGTAAGTTAAGATTTCTGTGCATGCAAGGACATATCGATAAATATGTAACATGTTTACATATGTAAACATATAAATATGTTTTGAGAGTGATCGAGTGTGATCAGTGCTTTGAGTCTGAAAGCTTGAAATTTTCTAGAGCAGCCTTTCTCAAACAGTAGGCTTCAAAGTGCCCTCTGGTGGGCTGCAGCCACAGTGGCATAACATATATTTAAGCCAGGTTTATTTATTTTGTGTTATATTTTATGTTTTTTTCCACCCTCATTTATTTGAGAAGGAGGTCTTTGGAAATTTCTTTACACTCAAAAGTGAGTCTTAAATTAGAAAAGGCTGAGAACCCCTGTTCTGGAGTTTTCAGCTTGAAGAGCACTGTTTCCTTTGCTCAGTCTTCAAAGCTAAACAGTTTTCACTCCTGGGAATTAACATTCCTCATTTGCATACAAACAACAAGAAAACTATGGGCCACCCATTGACTGTATATATGATGGTCATGGTGTCACTACTTCCCTCCACTATGCAAAAGTGAAGCCAATCTTGTTTTCTTGCCACCCGATTCTGCAGAGTAGTTATCAGACTGCCAGTCAAAGCTGTCAAATGAACAAAAATACAACTTTGTCTATATCATAAAATAACATAACTAGAACTGCAGCTTTGCAGTTCTATACTTCCATTGGTCAGTCAAATTCAAAGGAATTGAGCAGATGTGAGGTGGGTGGCTGTGGCTCAGGAGGTAGAGCAGGTCGTTTCCTAACCGGAGGATTAACGGTTCAATTCCCGGCTTGTCCAGTCAACATGTCAAGGTGTCCTTGAGCAAGACACTGAACCTCCCGGTGATGTCACCGGTGTGTGAATTTGGGAGTGCGAATGGGTTGTTAGATATCTTTAGTCAGATAGATATTGGATAGATACTTTATGTATTAGAAATGTTAGTGGAGATAGGATGTCTAGTTAGACTGTTAAATGCTTAGGCCTGCTCATGAGTTGCTGCAGGGTGCATCTGGTCAAGGATAACTAGAGAGAAGAGTTGATGACTGTCAGCAGACAGGGTGTTTAATATTATTATTATGATGTGTAAAACTGTAGACTTAGCCATAATGTTCCTATGTTCGAGTCACGACATGTA